TGTGTTTGATAAAACAAACGCGACTGGGAATACGACCTTGGAAGAAGGCAGTTAATTTTTTTCAGCGGTTTAAGAAAAGTAATTGCACGATTATTCTTTCCACCATAATATAACCTAAAATATAAATCTATTGAAGGATGGCCAAATAGAGCCGAATAGGAAAGTATACTTATATATATCCCTTTGCCAAAAGGAATAGCAATGCCTCTTGGGAGGATTAAACTACTGAGGGTTCAGATGAGCTGGTCGCATGCATACAGTAATTGAGCACAGGCCACATTCAACACTCCCCTGCACTTCTTGTAATACCCAGAAAACCTCACCGAGTCTTAGACTTATCATATTGTGAGTGTTTTTGTACGAGGGCGAAAGCCCCACGCCAAATGGAGGGGACAGCCCTCGGAGACACGGTCAAAATCCATTGAGGTCAGTAACCTACTTGCTACACTGCCATGACCTCCGTGCCTCTGCAGGCTGGGAAATTTCACGGCAAAAAAATGACGATCCCTTCCGGCGACTGCTATCACAGCGCTGCGCTCTCTCTCTTTAATACCACAGTCACGAGGGACAAGTTGTTCACTATCCACGGGAGTGCTTGCTTGCTTGCTACGTCAACAGCGGCCTTCAAATGTAGCTGAGCTTAGCCAGGCCGATGCAACTTTGATGTGTTTTTTGGTTCCCCTGTGAACACCGTTTAACCCCTCGTGCCCGTTCACGTTGCACACGGAGAATGTTCGATGCGGCGTTAAAACGCTCCGTGTGATGGGATGACATTTAAAAAGTCTAGCAGTAGGCATCGAATATATATACTGTACTGTGCACTTAATGTATATATACGTAATGTATATTCATAGCATTAACATCGTGGTCAAATGCCCCGAGAGCCAATGTTCTTAATTGTAATGTCCCCGCAATGTAAATTAATGTCCACTCTCATAATCCTTTTTTTTTGTTAACTTTGAAGAACCGACGTTATATTTGTAGCACAAGTTTTATAAGTGGCATTAGAGAACTCACGACGCGGGAAGAAGGAGAGGGAAGAGGGGGCTGAGAGCAAGTTAAGCCCCGGAAGCCACAAGCCATTTCTAGTTATTTGCCACCAAATCCGTGAGCCCGACATTTCACTGCACAAATAAGGGCGGAGCAGCTCCTCCGCTAACGTTTCCTCTGGTCGACAGTAATCCCCATTGACCAGAGAAATAATATTGTCACAGGCTTCCCCTGCGTGCCCGCTGTGTTTGCTGATTCTTTAGGATATTATCGTTGTTTGAATGAGCGACTTATCGAGAGCCCTCTCCTGACGGCTTGTCAATTTAAATTCGTGACGGCACCGAGCGACCGTGATTTATACGGCGTAGTGTCCCATATTTCATTTGATTCTCGACCCATTCTTGTTGTTTGTTATCCAGGTGTGTCGTGGCAAAACATTAGCCTCACAATCGAACATTATTTATTTTTTTGTTCAAATCCCCAGCCGGTGGCCGGCACAGCCTGACAATCCCCCCCCCCAAGGGCCGAGATTACGAGCACCACTTTGTAAGCGAGCGACACGACGATTCTGGCACGGCAGTGACTCCCTCCTACCACAGTAAGGTGGACGCTTTTCTGCAACTGGCTCGAGGTCGCCAACAGAGATGAGCGGGCATCGAGAGCTCCTTTTGAACAGGAGGCACGCACCCTTGAATCATTTCACCGGTTCTGTTTTACCCGCCTAAACATAGGCGCAGAGAGAGAGAGAAAGCCTATTTGGCCGATATAAACTAGCCCCCTCCCCCTCCACCGCCCCGGGTGTCTCGATAAGCTTGGCGCACGGCGTGTTCATTACCGCGTTTGGTCATCGGAGGGGCTCAGCGAGTCTCGGCGTTTTCGCCGTGATGTGAGCGAGCAAGTTTTCCTGCGGCCGCTTGCAATCGACTTCACGGTTCTCCGGGTGGGGCCGCTCCCGGCGCATTCCCTCCTCGCGCGCTTTCGCCACGCGCACCGCCGCGGTGACATCTCCGACGGTCGGACTCTTTTCTGGCCCACGGACCGTACGTGGCCAACCGCGCTAATCGGAGGCGCGCGGGGGAAGGACAACGAACTGGACGCAAAAAGCGGTGAAAGCGCGAGGGAAGGAACGCTCCCATCGCGCAGCCCGAGCCGGAGAGCCACACTCGCGATTTTACCGCCTCCTCGTGGTAGATTTTCTGAGGGATTAGCATTACCAGCGGGCTTTGGTCTGTGACAAAGGGAGATCAAAATGGAACTTAACGTCATGGGCACTGTGTCAGAATCAAGGATCTGAATTTAGACCGGAGGAATCCGATGAGCTATGAACCTCTTTTTCCACGGTAGCTTGCACAGATTTAGGCGCAGTGGTGAGCAAGCGCAGGGCAAGCTCACCACATTCATCGCCAACGCTGCCCTCATGCAGAGCCGACATGGGGGGGCGGTGGGGGGGGGGGGAGACGGATGCACCTCGCCGGAGCCGCACGGCGACCTTCACAACATGGTGGCTTCAACATTCAAACCACCGATTTATTGCGCACGCGCCATGGCACCGAGTTGAGGTGCACAAACCTTCGTCAAAATCCCCCCACCCCCACCCCCCACCCCCCCCAAAGCATCGCGTCAGCGCGCGCCGTCAAGTCCCAAGTGCCCCTCCGACTGTGACTCGAAAGCCAAATCCTCATCGACCCTCTTCCCCTGCCCATGAAATATGGCCGTCGCCCAAAACGTTAGCCCAAACGCGTGCTCGTGTCCGTTTTACTCGTCGGCTTTCGCGACCAACGTATCCATAATCGAGGGTTTTTTTTTTTGCGTGTGCACGCGTTACTGTCGCCAGGCGGTGTTCAGGACAGGGCCTGCGAGGCGAGCTTGAATGTAACAGGACCACCAGCGGCCTCGCAAAAATTTGCTTCGTCTGTAATAAATCGCACTCAGGCTGGGCCACCGCTGTCAGTGGAAACTGCTTCTTTCTTGATTTGAAGCTTTCGTGACTGCAGGAATCCACACTTTTTGGTTCTTTCGGTAAAGTCACGTAGGTAGAAAAAAATAATAGATCACGACTTTTCGCTCGCCACACCTGAAGACGATTGCTTGTGCGGCGATCGTGACGTCGTGATCTTTCATTTTTTATGCCGACGTGACTTTACCGAGAGAACCAAAGAGTATGAAACTGCTTCTGTTTTAAAAGAGAAAAAAAGATCAACAACAATTTTAAAAGGTTCTTGAAAAAGATTACAGCCAATATTCTGAGAGAGGTTCGCTTCCATTCTAAAGTACGGTTAACAAGTTTTACATTTTTAACAGCAGGCACTGTCCTGAACTAAAGTCCAAACCACAAATGCACCCAAAACTGAATTGTAATTTTTTTGTTAACACGTAGGCTTTCGCAACCGAAATTATGATTCGTAAATTATTATTTTTGGGGTCAGATCACTGAAGTAAAATGTGTGTCATGCACCCTAAAGTTGTCACGTGATGAACAAATGTGCCAAATGATTACTGCTTCAGCAGCACCACCAGCAATGCTGTTGGACAGCAGTCTACGCACGTTTAGCAATTGGGTGCAGGCGTTCTATTGGTTCGTGTGTGTGGATCGCTCTCCCAACACGCCGGTGGTGCTGAGGATGTGATAAATTGTCAAGTTCTGCTACCGTGACAACTTTAGTCATTGGCCGTGTCAGATGGAGGAGGGTGTAAGACACATTTTACTCGCTCGATCTGACCAAAAAAATCTATTAGGAATCATAATTATTGAGTAATTATTCTGTCATTTTTTTCACAGACAATGGCATCCAGGGCTTCTTGGCAGACAATGTGTATGGTATTTTTCATTCACAACGTACGTCGACTGTGTGTTTAGAGCTCTCGCGGTCTGCAGAGCGTCGTGTTGGGTCAGGGAACGGCCGCGGAAGAGGACACTAGAGAACTACTTCTGGAGTATCTACTTCAAGAGGCATCTCCCACCCAACACTAACCCCCCCCCTCCCCCCCCCTTAGCGACGTTTTGAGTCGTTTCACGGGCGGCTGTCATCCATTGTATTTATTCTCACACTGTATCACTCACGCAAAGGCCAAAATTAGGTAATATATAATTTTTTCTTAATCCAATAGTTTTAATTCTGAAGTGATTGGTGGCCAAGTTGGCACAATCAACTCACTCACACTTAAGAACCTGGGATATAGTTGCAGGCAGCTAAATGCCAGCAGCCACACCCGGGGTCTCATCAGCGCTGACTCGGCCATTGCGAGTCCCCTGTGCCACCCAACCGACTATCTCCTGATTAGGAACGCCACAAATCCCAAACAACATTTTGCTTCCCGCTCGGCTAAATAAAGGACGTGCACCCATTACTATCGCTAAGAAATCTTCATCAAATTTCCTTCCGCGGATCGGATCACTCATTGCCAATTACGACTGTTAAAAGTTTCCCAAATGAGAAATGTCAAGCAATCGCAGAATCTGCCCCAAATCGATGTTATTATTGCAACTTTTTGGCATTTAGCCGTGTCATTTTTTTCCCCGTGATTTCCAATAGGGAGGTGACCTAAGCTTGCTTCGCGATAATTTTCACACCGCATTTCATTTCTATTAGATTCTGATCGTTTGTTTAAAATACGGTCGGTTTTTGGATGCGCGCTTTTTCTCTTTGCTATTCTGCGCTTAACATTTAACACCGGTATCGTCTTTGCATTTCATCCCCCCACACGGGCTGGCCGTCTTCCCACCGTGGAAAAGTGAACATTCCATCCGTGGCTCACGGCCGCCCCCACCCACCCCCGCCACTCCGTCACCCTCCGGCCGAATCCCAGCGCTCCCTTGCTCGTCGTCCCAACGGACCCCTCCCCTCCTCGCGAACAGAATCCGCTCACCGCCTGACCGCCTGACGACCGACCGACCGTTGGAACCTCCGCGTATCGAAACGGGCGCGTGGGGGCGAGGGGGAGGGGTGAAGGGGACGCGTCGCCGCGTCACATGAGGGCGCAGCACTGGCAACGCCGGCGCGGTTTGGTACCTCCGGCGTCGTGCGCGGACGACGGGGCCTCCGTGGCGTCGTCGGCGGGGCCCCCCCCCGTGCCGCCGCCCCCCCCGGCCTCGTGCTTGCGCGGGCTGCTCGCCACGAGCTCGGCGGCCGAGCCGTCGGCCGGCGACGGGTCCGTGACGGTCTTCTCCCGCAGCGAGACGTCGTCGCCCTCCTCGTCGATCATGACGAGCTCTGCGCGCACCGCACCCTCCGACGAGCAATCGGAGCGCCCCTCCGTCGTGATGCCGACGCCGCCGGCGCCCACGCCGGTGCTGCTCCGCTCGTAGCCGGCAAACACCATCGTCACGGGGGCATCCCCTCCCACCTGGGGAGAGATGGGGGCAGAGATGGGGGCAGAGATGGGGGCAGATGGGGGAGAGATGGGGGGAGATGCGGGAGAGATGGGGGGAGAGATGGGGCAGAGATGGGAGAGATGGGGGGAGAGATGGGGGGAGAGATGGGGGAGAGATGGGGGAGAGATGGGGCAGAGATGGGGGAGAGATTGGGGCGAGATCGGGGGAAAGATGAGTGAGAGATGGGGGAGAGTTGGTGGGAGAGATGGAGGTAAGATGGGGCGATGGGGAGAGATGGAAGAGATGGAAGAGTTGGGAGAGATGGGGGAGATGAGATAGAGGTTAGTGACAGGGATAATAGGAGCCACGGTAAAGAGAGGTAAGAGCAACATGAGATGTGGAGAGATGGGAATAGAGATGAGGACAGGTGTAGATATGGACCAAAGAATAGGGAGATGGGAGATGGAAGAGCCACAAAAGATGGGAGAGATGGGGCGAGTATGGCAGAGGTTAAGATAAACATTCTACCATCATCTATAAAATTAACATCAACTTCACCATCAACATCAATCATAACATCAACACGATCAGCCGCGATTCTCTGTGAACGTCGCATCAGCAACATCAATGCGGCCGACGGCATCGACATGATCAAGAGTAGGGGGTGGAGGAGGGGGGTGGGTGAGGAGTTTGGGGGGGGGGGGGGTGGTGGTGGTGGACTCACGGCGTCGCCCGGCGCAGACGACTGCAGGAACGCCGCCTCGCCCACGGACTTGGCGAGAATCTCCTGCAGCTCGGCCTCCGTCAGCTGGGGGACCCCGTTCTCGGCGGGACCGCCCCCGCCGCCCCCGTCTCCCCCCCCGCCGGAACGCACGGCATACACCACCTTGCGGCCGTCGTCGAACACCTTGGTGCCGCCGAGCTGCGTGGCGTCGCCGCTCACCGTGCCCGTGGAGACGACGCGGGTCTCGCCCGTCACCGGGTCCTTGTGCACGCTGATCGTCAGCGACATCGGCTCTGCGCGCCCGTACGGGGGTCGGGCGGGGAGCGGCGGTGCCACGGTTAGCGCGCCGCGCTACGGACCCGGCCGCCCGGGTTCGATTCCCGCTCGCGGCCGACACCAGGTGACGATTATCTGAACCGGTCATGGGCCTCCCCTAGGTCGGCTCGGCCAATGCCGGCCTTCATAGGTGCTTGCGAACAGGTGCTCGCGAACAGCACTTGCCCCAACAGTCTATGAAGGCATTACGGGGGGTCTTTGTCTTTGTAGGGGGGGTTGAAGCGGGGGGGTTGGAGCTGGGGGGGCGGACGGGAGAGAGGCACGGCTTCTACTTTTGCGGGAGTCGTCAGAGTCTCTTGTCTCTCTGGACGCTCGCTGCGGCAGTGCGGACACTGAACCCAGGATGATCTCGAGAAGGCCAGCCAAGAAGTGTCTGGGCGCTGTTCTCTCACATGGTGGCCCTGTGCTCGAGGCTTATAACAATGATTGTAATATTCTTATTATTATCGGACAAAAGTCCCACACTCTTTGGTTCTATTGGGTAAAGTCACGTAGGTGAAAATAAAATAACAAAAAATCACGACGTTTCGGCCACAACACAAGCGGCCTTCATCAGGTGAAGGGACGGGACTGTCTGGAGGACAGCGCTGGAGTGGAAGAAGCCACGCTTAGATCACGACCTTTAAGCTGTGTGAGAAGAAAAAGACCAAGCGCCTTGACAAAGGAATTAGCATATAATTTAGCATTGAAATGGTTCATTGAAATAGCTAAGTTAAAGTATACACATCTGCTAATTCCTTTGTCAAGGCGCTTGGTCTTTTTCTTCTCACACAGCTTAAAGGTCGTGATCTAAGCGTGGCTTCTTCCACTCCAGCGCTGTCCTCCAGACAGTCCCGTCCCTTCACCTGATGAAGGCTGCTTGTGTTGTGGCCGAAACGTCGTGATTTTTTGTTATTTTATTTTCACCTACGTGACTTTACCCAATAGAACCAAAGAGTATGGATCCTAGCAGTCACGAAAGCTTTAAATCGTGAAAAGTCCCACAATTGCATGGGATCATCTGCTAGGATTTTTCTTTGTCCATGTGCCGAGTTTCATGACTTCGATCGGCCTTTTCTCTTCAGCCCGTCTGGTTGTCCACCGCAGACACAAAGAGGTGGCCCTTCTGCCATAACCTTTAGGAACTGCTTTTTGTGTTTAGTTTGTTGTCCTTCCCCCACACCTCTGATTAGAACGGTTGGCTACGTATGGTGTGACAGCAGTTCAACATACTGTACGTACATATCCGCTACTAGTGTTCACTGGGACCTTCCTCTGCCACCTATTCAACCAGTTGCCTACCTGCAACACCCATCTCTCTGTTTGAGGATGAGTCCTCTGGAGCTGCCATGCTCTGTGAGCAGGGCCACTGGACAGGCTTGCTTGGCTTATAATAATATTACGCTTGTTGATCAAATACTCTTTTTCAAGCGAGAGTCCTGCCAAAGTTTTCATAGTCGTGGCTGATGTTGCAATGTGCTGTGGAAGGAAACTGGGGAAACCCGGAAGGAACCCGTGCAGAAGAACAGGGAGAGATCATAGAAACTCGAAACAGGAAAGTGACCGAGTCGGAACTCGAACCCAGGCCCTGCTTCGTGTGAGGCACAGGTCTTGCAACTTCACCATCCTGCTGTGCTAACCGTTGGTGGCAATTGAACCCCCCCCCCCCCACCCCACCCCTCCACAACCACCACCTTCAGGCCCTGAGAATTGGTATTTTAATGGTATTTACCAATATATTTAAGCATTCATAATGTCGGGCCATATTTAGAGAGGTTCAAATATTAGGACCCCCCCCCGACCCCAACTTCCCCCCCAGCCCCCCCCCCCCTCCGGGGAAGTATCCAACATCTGCCCCCCGTGCGCGAGTCACTCACTCATCAAGGCCGCGTTGGAGTCCCCGGTGGCCGCCACCTTGGCCAGCAGCTGCTGTGGGATGGCTCCCACCTCCGAGTAGACATACTTCACCTCGTCCGCCCCTGCAGAGGGACAAGCGAGCGAGAGAGAGAAAGCTCGACTACCCGGGGTTCTCGTGGCCTCCGCATGCGGCGGCAGCAGGCCGTGGTGATTCCAGGGGGGGGGGGATATACAGGGTGGCCCAAAAGTTTATTTTAACAAATCACATAGGGTTATTCTTGATTTTAAGATTATCTTGCTGGTATGCAAGGTCTTAAATTGATTTGTTCCTCCCTGCATTCATGACCTCCTTCAGCTACGAATATTCCATCAAGATCATGAAGATCCTCAGACCTTGCATTGCTCACTGTCACCACGGTCTAGGCTTCACACTTTGGGGTGATGGTGCCTTTGGGATCGCGGCACCTAAACTCTGGAACTCGTTGCCCATCGAGGTCAGGGGACTTCCGAGATACTTTACAAACCTTCAAATTTCGACTAAAAACGTCTCTGTTTAAAATGGCTTTCTCTCTCTTGAGTTACTTTCAAACGTCTTGGTTGAGCTTTGTAAAAGAAGGATTTGAGGTGACCCACACAGCAAGAAGAAAAATAGACGTTAATAATGACAATGTATAACATCTTAACGTAACGAATAAACAATTAGAATGTTTTAATGCCAGTATTAAAAAAAAATCAGAGAACCCTATTTGTCCTGACTTTTTGGCCACCCTGTATTTCTCAAGAGCACCGAGTGGGCACTACTCCCACTGCTTCCAAGTCGTCTAGGCCAGCACGGAAGAGTAGGCCAAGTACCCTCTAGACGAGCTCTATAGAGAGCCCCCTCAAATAGAGGCCCTTCCGCCAGCAGTGGCTTGAGCGCGTAAATAGAGCGCTGTACCGTTACTGAGATGTTGGGTTCGAATCTGGATTTCAGCCACCCATGATTTAAACCAGGTACTCAAGTGCGATGAGTTGGTGATCTCGGCCTAGTCACTAAAGACTTTTACCAAAAACACCGTGTCAAACTTGTCACTTACTTTGGCTTTATTCCAACTCTGAGAATTACATTATTTTGCTTTGATTAGCCTGTGAGGGGCGCTGCAAGGCACGTGCGAAGGTGCACCATCTACGTGTGGGATAAACAGGCGATTCTATGAAGTTCATAAAGCGATCCGGTGACATCAGCTTCATCACAAGGTGGTGCACTGCTTTCTGCGAGGGTTTCAAATGGAGAGTGTCTTCACAGGGACACGATGGCAAGAGCGCACATTTGTACACACATCGGGGAAATACAAAATTTAGTTTTTCAAAGCGTAACCCCTATTGGGGTTGGTAAAAAATACTAATGATTTAAAACGTGCCACGCAGACTTCGCTCGCTGTCGAAGCGTGAACGACTGAAGAGGCGCTGAGAACCAGAGACAAGCGGGAAAGGCAGCCACGTGGTGAGTCAGCGCCAAACACTTGCCCAAGCTCTGCAGTCCTCTATATACTGTAATAAGTTGTTGTCGTTGTTGTTATTGGCCAATTAATGAGTCTCGACATTTCGGAGGAAACCGGAGCACGTGGTGAAAATGCATGCGTGCCACGGGGGAGGCTCTATCCCCATACCAGGAGGAACAAGTGAAGTTCACATTTTTAGCTGTACCGCCGTCTCCTGGTGAGCCAGGGTATAGCAACTCCTCGATGCCCACGGGAAGGAAGTTTGACAACATCGTTTTGATGCGCTCGCAGTTCCGACTCCACAGTGCTGCATTACAGGGCACTTGTGTAGCCACCACCATCACCATCCGGCTGATACTGCATTGCAAGACACGGCGGCCTTGATACCTGTGACCATGTTCAGTCTCAATTGTGGTAGAGGATTGCTCGTCACGGGGTAATCAAAGCAGAGTTATTCATTCTCAGTGATGGAATAAGTCAAATTGAGTGATTCATATGAACGCCACGTTTTTGTGCAGTCGTTGGTGACCAGGCTGAGGCCACATATTGATCACACGAGATCACTGGGTTTAATTTGTGTCGTGTCTGGCCGTTAATCCCAATCGCAGAGATAACGGTGGTTGGTGGGGGGGGGTCGCAACCAAAAGTTCGAGAAAGGCAAAAGCATTTAGGAATAGCAAGCACATTTTTGATGAATTCATCAGAATAGTCAATATATGAATGTCCCCAATGCCATTAGAATGTCTGCATTATACTTAAGAAACATGAAACTGGAATTTGAATATACAGCCTTGATCATCACTGTCATACACAGATACCACTATTATCACAACAGACACCATAATTATCATTGCAACAGATATCATTATTATCACAACAGACACCATAATTATGATTGCAACAGATATTATTATCACAACAGCTACCATTGTCATCACCTCCGAATATCATTATCGGTGTTACCATTAAAAAGTGTACATAAGTTGATAAATATACCTCATTTACTTGGGCTGTTGAATAATGATCATTGTGACAATCGTCGTCACATAGCGGGGCATCTGCGGTTCACGTTAAAAGGAGCAGAAATACTGTCCCAAAATCACAGGGTAATAATATTGAACGTTGGTGAGACGAAAGAACGTGCAAATGACTGGCGCGCACACATTGCACACACACTCACCTGCAGTGGAAGAAGCCTGCAACAACACCAACAACACAAAAAACACAATGAGACATCGAGCAAAACATTCGCAGTATCCGCTCATCCGGCGTTGTGTTCACGCTGACCAATGCGAGTGCCAGAGTGCAGCATGGCCAGACTGCCACCGCTACGCACGGCCGTTCAGGTTTCCCTCGCGTGACGCGGCAGGAGTCGTAGTCGATGCATTCCAAACAAGTTGGTGGACAAAGCGAAACCGCACGAGATAGTTGCCTGCCCATGCACAGCACACACAAAAGTACACACGCAGTACACACACGCAGTACACACACACAGTACACACACAGTACACACACCGCACACGCACAGTACAAGCGCAGTACACACACAGCACACACAGTACGCACACTTAGTACACACACTTAGTACACACACACAATACAAGCGCAGTATACACGTAGTACACACACTGCACACACACAGTACACACTGCACACACACAGTACACACAGTACGCACACTTAGTAAACACTTAGTACACACAGTACGCACACAGCACACACACTGCACACACGTAGTACACGCACTGCACAAACAGTACACACACACACACAGACTACACACAGTACGCACACAGTACACACACGTAGTACACGCACACACAGTACACACACAGTACACAAACCACACGCACAGTACAAGCGCAGTACACACACTGCACACACAGTACACAAACCACACACACACAGTACACACGCTGCACACACAGTACACAAACCATACACACAGTACACACACAGCACACACACAGTACGCACACAACGTTATCCCACGTGTAGCCACATGGTGCGAAAGAAGTTCAACATTGAACATAGATGCAGCGAATCTTGGGTGTAAAGAGGTGAGCCGCACACACGCAACAATCGCACAACCAGAACCCGCACTGAGTGAGGGGACAACCTAGATTTACATCCCAGGACAACTACCTGTGACTTCCTGTGGACTTTCACACAAAGCGGCACTGATTCAGAGGAACATATGGTCTGGATTTTAAACTCATGCAAAAATTGAATGTGCAAATTATTCGGTGATGCTGCTACTGCTGTTTCTGGGTTGGCAGTGGTTCTCAAGCACTAACAACAACTCAACACATTCGCCCACGGGGAACGTTGTGGGCAATGCTCCTTCTTAACGCATGAAGAAGGGCCATTGCCCGAAACGTCGCCGATTATATATTTATTAATTTAAGGCCACGGTGTATGGTGAACACGCACATCGACACAATTGTGCGAGTGGCTTTTTTACGTCTGTACTTTACTCGGATTATAACCAAATGGACTGTGCCGAGCTTGTCCTCCTGCTGACAGACTCACTTGAACGTGCCAAGTCAGTTACCAGCCAATGTCTCAACGCTTGCCAACAGCATGTGTGTTGTCCCTGTGTGTGCGCGTGTGTGTGTGTCCGGGACACTCAACCCACTGATTGAACACTTCCCATGCACTTCGCGCGAGGCCCACTTAGCGTCGTGTTGCCGTTGGCTGCCGCCGCGTGTTGGAACGCAAGGCCACATTTTTTCCCATTCGTTGCCAAACGGGAGAAAGTCTCTCTTCCAGGCATCGCCCAAATCCAGCGCTGGCAACACAAAGTTTTTAAACGGCTCGGAGCGAAAGCCTCCGAAACTCGACCAAAGCGTGCGAGGGTTGAACGATTTGAGTGTTTCCGCCTCTCGGCCCTGACAGGTGACCTGGATTTGTGAGCGGTGCCCCCCCCCCCCCCCCCCACTTGTACTCGACAGAATTCCTCGTTCAGCAGTCAGGTTGATTGAGGATTTTTGTTTTACCTACCAGGTAAGGCCCCACTGAGCTATGGAGCTGTATTTCGGAAAGCGATCTGACCACAAACGATAGCTCAAACAAAGTGGCTTATAACTTCGTTTGGTGCTTTCGTGACTGCAGGGATTACTCTTTGTTTTTTTTCGGTAAAGTCACGTATAAATAAGAAATAATAATAAAATAAACTTACATAATAGTATGGCTTATCACGTGGAAATGTATAGCAGCCAATTACTCTCAACGCGTGTTTCGAAATCTGGAGGGAATAAAATGCATGCGACTATGGGGAGATCGAACCCATGACCTCCTGTAAACCAGGCGAGGTAGTTAACATCTTCTAGCCGCCGTGGTGCCAAAATGATGAACCAGCATTCATTGATTCGCTCCAGTCACTCGCTCACAAGTGGTCAGTCACCTTATCATACTTCTATCGCGACCGCCATGGTTACTGGTCCCTTGAACTTCACTCATTGGTTCCTCCACCCATGTTGAGGACTCGGTCTACTAGATTTAATATTTTGTATCATCAATGCTGTGGTCAGCCACTACACTGTTGGTCACACTTACTCAATCACTCACCCACTCAGTCACCACACTGCAGGTCACAACAACACACTCACGCACTCGTCCACTCACCCACCACACTGCAGGTCACAACAACACACTCACGCACTCGTCCACTCACTCACCACACTGCAGGTCACAACAACACACAACAACAACCGCCATTCGCCACTAAGTGGCGGTGAGGTCACCACGACACTTGTGCCAGGCTATGTGCACGTTGAGGCCACGTGAAGTGTCGAACGCCCGCTGGCAGGAGGTCACGGGGCAGACCCAGGTGCCACGGATCGACTGGCTGAGATGACTGGCTGATGCACCACCTGTGCCCCCTACTGTGCCAACTTGCTGTGATTTAGACACCTGGTGCTCCGCACATTATTGTGAGCGTCGCTCCTCCGCCCTCCATTGTTGTTGGGGGGCGACTGCCTCCAACTGCCCAGTAGCATCCTTCACGAGCATCCTCCACAGTGGCCGATCTTGACACTGCTGGTTCCAGTCATCGGCAAGTCCACTCAGCTCCACATCCTCCTGTACCACATCACTCCATCTCTTCTCTAGTCTGTGCCGCGCCTGTTTAGCCCCCTCGATTCGGCCGAACAAAAGCTGTTTAGGCATGCGGTGGCTGGGCATGCGGGCTACATGACCAAGCCAACGCATGCCAGAGGAGCTCACCGATGGGACTTTGTCCGGATTTGTGAGCGCCTCACACAATTCAGGCTGGTTAAACCCAAGATGAATCGTAGGCAGGCTAGCCTAAATGTTTCTAACCGGCGAAGATGTTCCATTAGGGGGGTCCAGGTTTCACAAGCGTAGAGAAGGGAGGGAATGACTGTGGACGAGAAGACCTGAAGCTTCGTGCGGAGCGACAGACCAGGTAGCTTCCACACAGCGTTACGCAACCGATGAAAAGTGAGACCTCTGCTGTCAAACCGGAGCCGGTCATGAGCACACTGCCCAGGTATGGGAAACTCTTCACTCTCTCCACAACTGCCATCATCACCAATTGTGAGTTGTGGGGGTGGAGTGTCAGATGGTACAAAATACCCAGGCAGGTGCTTAGTTTTGGTGGGGCTGATGGTGAGGCCCCACCTCTTAGTGGCAAGCTCCAGGTTCAGCAGCAGCGCCTTCAACTCCTCCTCTGAGTGAGCAGCGATTACCAGATCATCGGCATACATACCGTGGTTGACCCATAGGGAGCCATCCCTTAACCACACCCGGGCATCGATCAGCCTCCATTGTATCTGTACCAGATGGAAATTCCTCCGGTACAGCTATTGAAGGCTTCACGAACTACGTGGTCGAAATAGATGTTAAACAATGTGGGAGCCAGAGGACATCCCTGTCGCACCCCAAGGTGAACAGCGGATGGCTCCGACTCCCAGCCCCATAGTTTTATCCGGGCCCGCTCACCATCATGAAGGTCCTTAATGATCGTAAGCAGAGGGTTAGGGACTCCGAAAGCACGAAGAACAACCCAGAGCCCAGGCCTTGACCAGGTCAATAAAGCAGAGATGTAGGTTTTGTTGGAATTCCCTACACCTCTGTTGTAGCAGACGGACAGAAAAACAACACACTCACTCACCCACTCACTCATTCATCCACTCACTCATCACACTGCAGGTCACAACAACACATTCACCCACCACTCAATTACCCACCCACCCACCCACTCACCACACTGCATAGTCACCTCACTTCCCTTTCTGCTTCGTCCCTCACTCTGCTCCACTCTGGAATTCACTCTCCCATCGTCTGTTTCCCCGAGTCCTTATTATAATCTTGCTCAATTATAGAAATGTGTTACACTCTTACATAAATTATATGAGATTTACCACAACTTCGATAGTGTTGCTTGTTGCAGGCTGCTTGGTATTTCAGGCCCTTGGGCCTGGACTCAGCAACTGCAATTTAAAAAAATAAACGTCTCTTTCGTTCAACACGCAAAATACCCAGGAAGGAATTTGGCCAAAATCCTACAGTGGTGCTGTGGTAGAGCACCAAGCACATAAGCAGTAACTCGCGAGTTCAAATCCCTGTGGCGAATTGACACAGCCCATCATCCTTCTGGGGTGGATAAAATGGGGCATTTTGTGCAGGAAGTGAATACTCTAGCGGTTTCCAATCGAGAGAACGGTCCCCATCATCATCAACAAAAGCCATGTTCTATCGGATGCCAGATGAAGACCTCCCCACGTCGTCACCATCCCTCATTGGTGCTGTGACCCCACAATCTGCCTCGCCGGTGCGCACGGGTTCATCTGATCGTTTCACCTCCGCGACGGTCGTATCTCGGAGCGCATTGCCTCCTCTTGGCTGCCGTTCCTTCGCCAGTCTCATCAACCGGCCATCGCCCCTTGTGACCCCGACGCGTCCTGCCCACGCCCGCTGACTCGTCTGAAGTCAATACTCACGTCTCCGACTCACTTCGTTCTCCGATCCGCGTGCTGCTGCTCTCCCTCTCTCTCTCTCCGTCGCTCAGTGTCGTTTCAAGCGTGCGCAACTCTTCGTGCTTTTTCTGAATCCGTTTTCGTCGTTTTTCCCACCCCGGGAATTGTGGAATTTTCCATCCTTGGCTCAAAACTCACAGTCGCGGTGAGCTACTACCCCGTGTTTGAGCGCGAGGACATACCACGAAGCACAC